ATGGCTATGAAACTGAGTAGCAATATGGAAAGTGATTATATAACAACTGAAAAAGGATCATTTCATAAACTGATGAACAAAAATAGACCCAGAGACATAGAAACATCGAACAGACTGTCAAACCTCAGAGGGAAGGCAGGGGAGGAGGGAGGGGGAGGAGATCAACCAATGAACTTGCGTGCATATATGCATAACCCATGAATACAGACAATAGGGGGGTGAAGGCCTGGGGGGAGATGGGGAGGAGAGGGCAATGGGGGAAAAGGGGGACATATGTAATACTTTCAACAATAAAATTTTTTTAAAAATGCCTGGCCAGTGTGGCTCAGTGGTTGAGCATCAACCTAGGAACCAGGACATCACCGGTTCGATTCCTGGTAAAGGCACATGCCCGGGTTGCAGGTTCCATCCCCAGTAGTGGGTGTGCAGGACACAGTCGATCCATGATTCCCTCTCATTGATGTTTCTATCTCTCGCTCCCTCTCCCTTCCTCTCTCTGAAATCAATAAAAAGAAATATTTTTAAAAAAGAAAAAGGATCATCAAATTTCGTGTGTAGGTACAGTATGACAACCATGTACAAAGATGGCATATTCCAGGAGCAGGCCACTCCCCACCTCCATGGCTTTGCCGGTGCTCTTGTTGGAAAGCCCTTTCCCCCTCTATCCACCTGCATTTCTTTCCATCTTTACTCTCACCGCTGTAGACGAAACCACGCTAGCCTCTCACCCTGACACTTTCAGGAGTCTTCCACTTGAGCTCAATGCCTTCAGTTTCTCTATCCTCAAGTGACCTTTGTCTTTGTTGTTGTTAATCCTCCCCCAAGGATATTTTTCCACTGACTTTTAGGGAGAGTGGAAGAGAGGGGAAGACAGAGAGAAACATCAATGTGAGAGAAACACATCGATTGGTTGCCTCCTGCAGGAGCCCCGACTAGGGCCCGGGCCAGGAGGAGCCTGCGACCCAAGCACATGCCCTTGACCTGAATCAAACCCTTTGGTCCGCAGGCCGATGCTCTATCCACGGACCCAGAGCGACTAGGGCTCAAGTGATCTTTGAAATATACAAATGAGACCTCCCCCTTCTCCCTGGGATCACTGGCCTCCAGACGTGAAGGATAAAGTCCGATCTCCAACCTCATGTCAAACACACCTCCACCGCCACCCATTCTCTGAGCTCCAGCCACAGTGGCCTCTCACTGGGTGCCTCTACCCCCAGCCAGTGTCCCCAGTCCTCCTGCTTAACCACTTTCCTGGCCACCACCATGGTTAGGGTCCCAGCAGGCTCCACAGTAAGCCAGCTCCATTCAGGACACCCAGGAGGTGGCTTCTACAGCAGCTGAGGAGAGCGACGGCAAGGATCTGAACTTGAAAAGGGCAGCAAGAACAGAAGAGACCCATGAGCAGTCCAGTGACTGGTGACTTCAGGTGCCCTAACGGAAGTGCGAGTCCCAAGCCTCACAGCCGTATGGTTGAACCCAGGCTCAAACAGGCAGGAAGGCAAATGATGATAATCCTGGAATCACCATGTTACCTGCTCATCTGCTGATACCAATAGAGCCGATCTCAGCCTGGACAGATAGGTCAGCAGTCAGGGGTTTAGGTAAGTTCCCTAAAATCTGGGAATATAACCCTATCTCACAGGGCCAGCCTGTGTCCAAGGCTCTTCTGTAGGTTAAGGATGCAGGGGACGGGGAAGGAGCATAGCTTTGCTTTGCACAGCTCTGGATTCGAATCCTGGCTCTTCCGCTTATTAGCTGTGTGACTCTGGGCAAGTTGCTGAACATCTCTGAGACTCCCTTTCTCCTCTGTACTATCAAAATCATCCAGCCGTTAAGAACCTGGACTTTGAAATCTGATTTCTGGGGCTGTCTCCTGATTTCTGGGGCTGTCTCCTGATTTCTGGGGCTGTCTCCTCTATAGACCTACTATGGATGGAGCCTCTGAGCTTTAATCTCATGGGGGAAAATGGAGATAATAATCCCATGTTCCTCATGGGATTGTTATGACGATTAAGTAAGATATTGCAAGTACTTAGCACAAGTACCAGCACCAGGAAGCACTCAACAGTCAGTGGCTATAATTATTATCATGGAAAGCACCCAGTTGGTGTTTGACACATTAGGGGATTTGATAATTGTTAGTTCACCACCACCACTACCCACCCACCTATCCCTTTTTTAAAAAAAAAAATATTTTTTATTGATTTTTTACAGAGAGGAAGGGAGAGGGATAGTTAGAAATATCGATGAGAGAGAAACATCGATCAGCTGCCTCCTGCACACTCCCCACTGGGGATGTGCCAGCAACCAAGGTACATGCCCTTGACCGGAATCGAACCCGGGACCCCTGAGTCCGCAGGCCGACGCTCTATCCACTGAGCCAAACCGGTTAGGGCCCACCTATCCCTTTTCTCTGAGCCAAGAAGGATCCACATGCCACCAAGACCATACTTATTCTCAGGACACGTACATTCCAATTCCAGATCTCTTCACGGGCCTGGGGGAGGGCACAAGACCCAGCCAGGCAACGGTCATGGCCAAAACGTATTGGCTTCCTGGTTATAGGGACCTCGCTCAGATGGAACACTGTTTACACCTGACAATAACCCGGTTCGTGTAGAAGAATCCTTTTCTGAAGATTTACTCATTTATACAGAAGGTCCCAAGGTACAGAACAACAACAAAAAAGGTGCTATCGCCCAGCTGGCGTGGCTCAGTGGTTGAGCGTCGACCACATGCCCGGGTTGCAGGCTGGATGCCCAGTCGGGGGCGTGCAGGAGGCAGCCGATCCATGATTCTCTCTCATCATTGATGTTTCTCTCTCTCTCTCTCCCTCTCCCTTCCTCTCTGAAATAAAAACATAAAAAATGCTTCGTTTAGAAAAGATAAAGAAAAAAAAATGGTGCTTTCAAAAATGTGTCCTGCCTTCCGGTTTTGCTCAGCGGATAGAGCGTCGGCCTGCGGACTCAAGGGTCCCGGGTTCGAGTCCAGACAAGGGCATGTACCTTGGTTGCGGGCACATCCCCAGTGGGGGATGTGCAGGAGGCAGCTGATCGATGTTTCTAACTCTCTATCCCTCTCCCTTCCTCTCTGTAAAAAAAATCAATAAAATTAAAAACAAAAGTGTGTCCTGACAGAGTGTGTCTGTCTGCGAGGTGGGGAAGAGCCAGCCACACCCGGGCACAGCATCCCCAGGCAAGCAGCCAGGGAGGCCGGGAGGCAGGAACCCCCAAGGTGGCAGAGAACCCGGGGAGGAATAGAGAACTGGCAGCATCGGGGAGAGAAAAGGGCGCAGGGGACAGGAGGACTGAGCAGGAGAGCAGAGACCGCAGCCCAGAGCACCAGGGAGGGCAGGCGAGGGAGGAAAGCGGAAAAGACCAGGGCAGAGGAAGGAGCCTGCCGGCTTCCCCTCTGAGCCGCTTTGCATATACAAGACGGATGTTCCCCGATTCTGCACCAAGACCAAGCCCAGTTCCTCTGCCTGAGCCGGGGCACTCGCTCACCGCCGGCCTCCAGAGACACAGCTGTCATCAGGGCGTGGTTGTCATGACACTAGGAGGCTCCACTCCCACTCAGGGGGGGCCCTCGGTGAGCCAGGGCAGGGGGCCCTGCTGCTGAGGGTGTGGTTGTGGATTTGGTCTTAGCACGGCTTGTTCAAGGCGAGGAAGGCTGCGGGGCTCTTCCTTGAAATCCAAAATGGAAGTCGATGAAAGAAATTCTCAGCGCGGGTGAGCCCCGGGGACCCCGCTTCTCCCAGGAACCTCAATCGTCCTAGGGATAAAGCAAAGAGACGTGAACTGAGCACATTTTATAAAAGTTTTTTTTAAAATATATTTTATTGATTTTTTACAGAGAAGGAGAGGGATAGAGAGTTAGAAACATGGATGCGAGAGAAACATCGATCCCCTGCCTCCTGCACACCTCCTACTGGGGATGTGCCCTCAACCAAGGTACATGCCCTTGACCGGAATCGAACCTGGGACCCTTCAGTCCGCAGGCCGACGCTCTATCCACTGAGCCAAACTGGCTAGGACTCAGCCTCACCTCTTCAGAGGTGGCCCAGGGAGCCAGCCTGACATCTCCAATTGTTTCTCTGTCCAAGACTCACTTTATTTATTTATTTTTTAATATATTTCTTTATTGATTTCAGAGAGGAAGGGAGAGGGAGAGAGAATCATTGATCGGCTGCCTCCTGCACGCCCCACACTGGGGATCAAGCCCACAACCTGGGCATGTGCCCTTGACTGGAATCGAACCCGGGACCCTTCAGTCCACAGGCCGACGCTCTATCCACTGAGCCAAACCGGCTAGGGCTGTCCCTTGCTTTTATAAATCTCTGGGGATTTCTTGTAGATTGACACAGTTCAGATCCACCAAAAAAGAAAGGTCCCAGGCCCTAGCCGGTTTGGTTCAGTGAATAGAGCATCAGCCTGCGGACTGAAGGGTTCTGGGTTCAATTCCGGTCAAGGGCACGTACCTTGGTTGCAGGCTCCTCCCTGGCCCGGGCCCTGGTCAGGGCGTGTGCAGGAGGCAACCAATCGATGTGTTCCTCTGACATCAATATTTCTGTCTGTCTTTTTCCCGCTCTTCCACTCTCTCTGAAAATCAATGGAAAAATATCCTCGGGTGAGGATAAAAAAAAAAAAAAAAAAAAAAAAAGAGCCCTAACTGGTTTGGCTCAGTGGATGGAGCATCGGCCTGCGGACTGAAAGGTCCCAGGTTCGATGCTGGTCAAGGGCATGTACCTTGGTTGCTGGCACATTTCCAGTGGGAGGTGTGCAGGAGGCAGCTGATCGATGTTTCTCTCTCATTGATGTTTCTAACTCTCTATCCCTCTCCCTTCCTCTCTGTAAAAAATCAATAAAATATATTGAGAAAAAAAAAAAAGGAAGGTCCAGATTGTCCCCATTCACACCTGGAAGGAATTTCCCGATGCTAACACAACCTCAAAAAGGCCACGGAATTCCAACAGGCTGGAGGGTCAAGTTTACACGCGGTCTCCTTGTCCTACGCACAACCACCGCTGGTACGAACAAAACTCCTAACCCAGGAACTAAGAGGTCACAGTTCCATTCTCGGTCAAGGGCACATTCCTGGGTTGTGGGCTCGATCCCCAGTAGGGGGCATGCAGGAGGCAGCCGATCAATGATTCTCTCTCCTCACTGATGTTTTTATCTCTCTCTCTCCCTCTCCCTTCCTCGCTAAAAAGCAATAAAAACATATTAAAAACACACAACTCCTGCCAAGAGGTAAACCACACCAACGCCAAGTCCATAGTCGTTGCCCTTGACCTACCCACTCCGCATCCTCTGCCCCGTCCCCCTGCTCTCGGGTCTCCGCCGCGGCCCCCTCGGAGGACTTCCGGGCCATGATGTTGTCGGTCCACGATGCCCCCGTCTTTGCATCACCAGCGAAATTACACTTGGTCACTGTTCCAGCCTCAAGTTTGGCTAATGAATCTGAGAGAAGGAAAGAAGGTGAGTGGCCTCTCTTCCTGTGGCGGCAACACAGTGGGGGGGCTGGCCCATTCTACTTGGGTCCCTGAGACTGGGGGTAACCCATTGTTCTCTGCAGGCCTGGGTGTGGACCTCGGGGAGACCCTGGATGGGACCCCCAAAGCCCTAGATAGGAGAGGGCACCACCCACAGGTACCCTGGGATTGGACAGGACCCCACAATCCAGGGTGTCCAGACTACTGGCCTCAGGGCACTGCCCTGGGACTTAGGGATATATCTCAAGGGGTCTTGTCCCCGCAGAGGCCAGACCTGGCCGCTCCCAGATCTCTAAGCAGGAGGGGTGGGGGTGGGGGGGCGCCCGCAGGCCAATGGGAACATGAGGCCGCAGAGAGGGCTGCACTGCTCACCCAGGAAGGGGCCGTCGCCTCGGGTTTTCAGCCGAACCCCGGCCCCCAGCTCCAGCTCCAGGGCCTCCATCTCCGACTCGGGCATCCAGAAGGCCACGGTCTGCTCGGGCATGAGGCTCTCCGTCAGGGCGAGCAGCTCCGGCTTATTCACCAGCTCCTTTAGTGCCTCGGCCGTCAGTCTGTCCGTGTCCCCCTTGGCGTCCACCTCTGCAGGCACACAGCACAAGAGGATTGTTCCCGCTGTCGGACCAGCGCTGAGGGCCCTGGCCGGTTTGGCTCAGTGGATAGAGCGTCGAACTGCAGACCGAAGGGTCCCAGGTTCGATTCCGGTCAAGGGCATGTTCCTCAATTGCAGGCTCCTCCCCGGCCCCGTGCAGGAGGCAACCAATCAATGTGTTTCTCTCACATCGATGTTTCTCTCTGTCTTTCCCTCTCTCTTCTACTCTCCCTAAAGATCAATGGGAAAATATTCTCGAGTGAGGTTAAAAACAAATAAATTAAAAAAAACAACAAAAAAAAAGACCAGCACTGAGGGAACCGCCAGGGGAGGACTGGGCAGCCTACATGCTCACAGCCAGCTGAGGGCAGGAGTGAGCCCATCCTTCCCGGACTCAGCAAGGAGAAGGAGCATAGAACCCAAAGATGTAAGTAGGTTTGAGCTTTGAGTATCTGGCTGCTGAAAACTGCTCTCATCCTTCATCAAGATACCTGGGCGAGGGCACCATGTTTGGATTTCACAACCGTGGGCAGCCATGGAAACCTGTTATTTGAACAGTTATTGACTAAATAGGCTGTAAGGAAACCCAGATGGTCAAACCTATTTGGGTTTTTGCTGTCTTCTTCGGTAAACCCAACACCTCAGGATAGTTCCCACTATTTTCCCCTTATGTGCCCTGTCACAGCCACACGGGCAACCTTGCTGTTTCTCGAACATACCAGGGAGGCTCCCAACCCAGGGCCGTTATACTTGACCTCTCCTCTGTGCAGAAGCT